GTGAGATAAATGCGCCGACAAACCTCCGGTCCGTTGGGTAGTAGACCCAGGCTAATTCCGTGCACCACATGCCCGTATGAGACGAGGAAGCAAAATCGGTCTGCATAATATATCGCAGGAGTTGGGTCGTAGCCAGCTTGTGGGGGCTCTTGGCACCTGCATGCAGGTTTTGATCGAATTGTAACACTGTTCCCATTCCACCAGAGAACCAGCCCCCCAATAATGCCGACCCCTGGACCCACGGGATCGCCCTCAGCGGCCTAGCCATTCATAGTATGCGGGATGATTCGAAGTGTAGGTGGGCACAGGCTAACGTGGCCTGGGTGTGTCTGGGTGTGGGTCGATAGTATGAACTCCGTCTGGTTATGGGTAAGGTACGAGCATTTTCCCATTCTACTTCGAGCATACGTGGCACCCTCCTGTGGTTTCTCTATAGGCGGCACAGCCAGCCTTGGGCGAGTTCCCAACGTCTGCGGCGGCTCACATGTTTTGGCTTTGTCCGCGGATGATAACTTTGTGGCCTACTACCTCACGAGCACCCCCGTTCTTGGTGCCACGTCATCAAGCACACACTCTGGAAATAATAGTGATTTCATCTACTTTTAGCCTGCGGCTAACCAACATCCACAATAGAAATCTAGTCTCTCTATTATGGGGCAACCTCGTACCGAATAAATAGCGTATATTTTCAATACCGGTTCGACTCAGGCAATCGTAAACTCGGACGTGTCTATGGTCACTAGGACGAAGAGACCCTCCCGTAGCAACTCTCGAGACGGATACGTGGGCAGGTCGATGCGGTTAAAGCACGAGTGGACCTTTGGAAAGGCGCCTTTGACGTACGGAGTGCCGTGCAGAGAAAACGGGCACAGCCGGCCATCGTAGCTCGTGAGGCCCTTGAACCCCTGGATGGGTACGCGGGACGACCCCGTGGTGAACTGGAGCAGCTTGGCCCGGTCAGAGGGCGTCATGTCAAACTCGACAACGTCCCAGAACCACCCGACGACGTCCTCGAGCGACTTGGACACGATCGTGGACCGCTTCCAGTCACCCACGTCGATCTCTGAAAACCCACACAAAATCAGCTCCAGCTCCTTGTAGTCGAACGGCATGAGCAGCTCCTGGGGCAACACGTCGTACAGACCCTGCACCAGCCGCTGCAGCTGCGGCGCCACGCGCTCAAACATCAAGTACTGCACCATCCTCTCCACGTACTCGGCCTTGTTGGCGTTGGTCACCCCCACGTCCCGACCCCCGACCACCAGCTCCACTTCCGGTACATCCGTGTCCACAGTCACACTGAACGTCAGTGCCAGATCGTCCACGTCATCGCAGTCGCGAATGTAGGTCAAGCTCGAATACACGGTCGGGTCCAAGTACCGAATGTCTTCGATCGAGACGGGGTACCCCAGCAGCATCTTGAACAGCGGGACACAAAAGTGAAACGGCAGCACTTGGCCGTCGATGATGGCTCGACCGAGGAGCCGTCCCACAGCTTGAAAGTCTGCCAAGTGGTTGGGGCCGTGGTCTCTTTCCGAGTTGGGATTGATAAAGAACGACTGGTCGTCCTTGTTGGTAACCATAAACAGCCCCTGCTCGTCGCTGAAGATCTCGGTCGTGAGCAGCGTGTACCACTCCCGCGTGACGCCCCCCGCGTCGATGGCGCTTTCCCCCAGCAGCGTGATCTTGGTCTTGGTGCACAGTTGGTCGGGACTGATGAGCATGAGTACGTGGATGGACTCTTGGAACACCTTGGCGCGGAAGATCTTCATCTTGGTGTGCTTCTCAGTCAGCCCCGACAACTCGGTCACTAGCCACGCGTACTTGAGGGAAAAACTCAGGCTTTGCAGGTGCTCCAGCTGACCAAACCACCACGACGCGATCGGCGCCCCACTGGCTATGGCTACACCAGCCATCTCGGGGGCCAACTCAACCAGCTGAAACGTTTCCGTCGATTCAGTGGCCACGTAATGCTGGCTCGACGATAGAGTTTCACGATTGGTGGTCCACTGGGGGGTCGCACGTGTACTGTAGTAGACACGTACCCAGTCGTGTCGCTCTCTGCATAGTGCGTTGAATATGCAGAGTTTTCGTGTGGACTTATTTACCTGGCGCTGCGTTGCGTCGAGTTGAGCTTGTCCACAGTCACAACACTGCCGTCGGGCGAGCCAAACTCTGGGGCCACCAACAAGTACACGGCTAAAGGAGCGTGGGAATTCTGTTCATATCCCCGAATGATATTGCAAGGTGACTACCTTGACTCGTTCGACACAAGACACACTCGAGCTGGTCCGGCGCGTTTCGAAAGCTGCACACACTGCACGACCATTTCTTGGCTTCCAGCGACCTAATAATGTTACGTTGAGGGTGGGGTCAATTCGCTGTTGCCACTGTGGTATGTTCGTACGGATCTTCGAGGGCGTCTCGTGCGAGCCCATACAAGTGGCCCACGTGCCTACAATGCAAGCATTAGAATGGTTGGAATGATCACGGCTCACGTACTCGTTGGGCAACAGCATTTCGACGGTGCCTTGCTTCGTGCGGAAGCACAGTAGCACAACGAAGACAAACATCACGGCTACAGCTACAGCATATAGCTGGTATCGGCTGATTGACGACGAGTCCATGCCAAACATTCGCGATACGACCGATTCAGCCAAAACTGAACTGAGCTGAAGGTTGCAATTCCCTTGTCCTACGCGAGGTGACTTCTGGTGAAGGTTTTGCTTGTCGCACTTGGATATGTCTATTTGGATCAGCTAATGTTGCACGTTTCTGTCTGTACTGTATGGTGATTGTAGTCTATACTAGTATTAATTGCTCACGTTAATTTGTCGCGAGTAATACTGTATTACTGTATTACTGTACCTGTACCTCTGTTTTGCAAATATTGCAAGCAGACACTTTATTGATACTAGTACTACGACTAAGTAGTAATATTAATATTTATAACTATTAATATTAATACTACCGATACTACTACGTACTACGTAGTAGTACTAACGTAAACAATCATGGATTTGCCGAATTTTGATTGTGATGTGTGGAGCATATCTCATGCAGATTTTACAACTTGAACCTGGTTGCTGCATTTTTATAATCCTGCTTTTAGTCAGATTCAAACATAATTCAGTTTAAATGTTTGGAATTGATGTAATAAAATTGTTAAAGATGTCCCCTCCAAACAGTAAATCATTGATTTGCCGAAATTTAGACTTGATTAAATTATTGCATATGGGCTGAGCAAACGATACAAATATCGATTTATACAGTTACTATTCGTTTATAAAGTACTCCGGAGTAATTAATTATCTATCATACCTCCAAATAAGGTGGAAACTCTATAACCTAATTGTAGAGTTATATTAACTCACCAAGGGTTTCATTGTTGCGATCATTAGTTTTAATCAATCATATCAATTCTGACATTCTATTGGGCAAGAAGTTCGGCAAATCAATGATGCATCGGCAAATCAAATGATTGTTTACGTTACCTCTGTTTTGCAAATACATTGCATGCAGACATTCCGCCTCATAGTAAATCTAAGTATACCGAATCTAAATATACTAGCAATAAATTTCTGGAACCATATGGCATATCCAGCTCTGATGGTGCACTCTTTCACTGCAGCTTCAGCCTTCATTGCTTCCATGCTTGTGCTCAACGGGCTTGAAATCCTAACGCTATACTGTATCACGATAAATAAAATTTAATAGCTTACTATGAGATGTCGAAGTCCTTGTAAATACCCATTAATGGCATTGGTTGCATGCATGTGCCGTGTAAACTGATGAAGTCCCTACGGTAGGTTTACTGTTAAGATGTTTTGGCAAATGCAATGCTTTCTCAAATCTAGCCAATGAATGTCCTCTATTTCGGAATAATTTGACTGAAAATTGAATATACTTCAAAATATGTGGTGCACGTTATCAACGAAGAGTGGAAGTTTTATTATTTAACGTAAACTTAATGTAGTTAAACTCAAAAATCAAATATGTTAACAGTAAATACTGATTTTGATACTACTACGTTTTATCACTACAGTAGGTTAAAGGTCCCAACTGCCTCCGGATAATATATACGGAAAATCAAGATATATCTCAGCCAAATATGCATTGTACTTTGCACTTGTTTTGGCGTCGGTTTTACGTGGCTCTAAAAGAGTGGTACTTCTGCTGTAACTGTGTTACAAAGTTGAATAAATACCTGGTGTTTTAGCTAATTCACTGGTGTTTTATAAATGCCAAATAACTCTGAGCAATAATAATCACATGTGATGCTGAAGTGACCAAAACACCTTGGCTGTTATTCCATCGCGTAGTACACGCTACCTGCATGTACTATTCGATGGAGCAAGAAGATGGCGTGGTTTTCTACGATGTGGCACCATACGTACATCGCTGTACGGTAGAACACAGGCGCATGTCCTCGCTGTGTGTCATTTGTATTATCAAAAGTTGTTCATGATGACCAGTGAATTGTGAATTTGGTCCCGAGAATAGCAGATATAACTTCGATTTGCACTTTTCAAATGTGCAAAAGCGAGGGAGTTGCATAAATCACCTCCCTATAATTACATTCTGTAACGAAACGTGATCCTGAAAATTGAATATACTTCAAAATATGTGGTGCACGTTATCAACGAAGAGTGGAAGTTTTATTATTTAACGTAAACTTAATGTAGTTAAACTCAAAAATCAAATATGTTAACAGTAAATACTGATTTTGATACTACTACGTTTTATCACTACAGTAGGTTAAAGGTCCCAACTTCCTCCGGATAATATATACGGAAAATCAAGATATATCTCAGCCAAATATGCATTGTACTTTGCACTTGTTTTGGCGTCGGTTTTACGTGGCTCTAAAAGAGTGGTACTTCTGCTGTAACTGTGTTACAAAGTTGAATAAATACCTGGTGTTTTAGCTAATTCACTGGTGTTTTATAAATGCCAAATAACTCTGAGCAATAATAATCACATGTGATGCTGAAGTGACCAAAACACCTTGGGGCTGTTATTCCATCGCGTAGTACACGCTACCTGCATGTACTATTCGATGGAGCAAGAAGATGGCGTGGTTCTCAACGATATAGCACCATACATACATCGCTGTACGGTAGAACTCCAACGCATGTCCTCGCTGTGTGTCATTTGTAATATCAAAAGTTGTTCATGGTGACCAGTGAATTGTGCAATTTGGTCCCGAGAATAGCAGATATAACTTCGATTTGCACTTTTCAAATGTGCAAAAGCGAGGGAGTTGCATAAATCACCTCCCTATAATTACATTCTGTAACGAAACGTGATCCTAATTCACTCTACGGATTATCTAAAACACTGGGGTCGATGTAACAAACACCCAGGTTTATGGTGTAAATAGCCAAAACGAGTGAAAAGCACAATAAAATACCGCTGGGTTAAATACCTATTTCTGGACCAATTCATCACCAAATTTGAATCTGAAGACTTTCTTCACCACATTGAGATCTGTCGATTCTACGTCTCAATTTGCTGAAAATTTTGAGTAATGATTACTGTCCCCTTGGGCGAGTCACCCTTCTACAGCATACCGCTGTTTCATGAGCTGTATAGCAGTTTGACCAACACGACACTGCAGACTTTTACCTCATCGGTCGATGCACAGGATTCGTGGCGGATCGGCAGCTGGTAGGTTGACGGTTGGTAGATAGCACAGCTAACCTTATGACACATGTGAGCACTATTCTCTCATCAAAGTATTATGATGAAACTCATCGCTGCGCCCATCTGTCTTGTGCAGCATGCCAGCGGCCACCATCGGCGGTGGACTTGCTAAAATGTGCATGTGCAAGGAATAAGACGCCATGCGTTTTAACAGTAACCACGTTCGTTTTACTCCAGTGCTTTTACAGTTAGCCAATGACAATGAAAACAAGTTGGACTATTTGGAATAAAAATATTTCCCAAACGCGACTTGGACGATCGTGACAAATATTTACTGTTAGGACGATCCTGGGAAATACATACCCTTCTGGTTTGTCCCAAAAATAACCAGACAACAGTTTAAAATACAGTACTACCTCGAAGTAGTAATTACTACTACTATAATACTATGAGACCTTGACCGAGAGCAATACAACGTCCACCGCCTTGACCTCCCTCCTTCGCTTTCGAAACACCGCGTAGAGGGCGAGTACTAGTATGACACACCCTAACACGACTGCACCAACCACGCTCCACGTTAAATTCGTCGCGTCTTTCTCGTGCTCTACACCTTCCGACAAGACTGCTGATGGCACCACTTGGTTCACACTCGGTGGGGGTGACGTCATCTCTGGGATGGTGGTCGTGACCATTGGTAGGACCGTCGACAGTGTCGGCGCACTGGTCGTTATTGCGCTCGACACGACAGGAGGTTTGCTTTCCACTTCTTGTGGGAGCACCCCCACCAGCGGTTTGGTTTCGACTTTGTCGACCAACAACGCGCCGAGTTTCTTGTCGACAAAGTACCCTTGATCCCACTGCTTGCGAAACGCTTGGGGGAAGAAGATGGCGGCGGGGGGACCCGGCATCGCGTCCGACGAATGGGCCGCCCCACCGGGGGCGGAGCTGTTGGCACAAGTCCCGTCCGACTCGCCGGGTACTTTTATCCACAAGAACAAGTCCAACACGCCAGGATACCCCGTGTTTCGTGTGGGGGGGACCCCAATGGCCCCAAATTTGTTGTTGCACCACTCGTTCGACGTGCTCGGCGTGCGGTAGTTACGCGATGTGTCGACCACACATCTCCACTGGGGGTTGCCGGTCAAATTCACAAAGTTCGAGCACAGGGTGGCCATCTCCGCCACGCGGCGGTAGTTGGACGTATTGAGCACAATGCCACGCACGGCCCCGGGCCGACTGGCAGCGCCCACGACTTGCATAGCGGCTGCCACTTGTCTTGACTTGGCGTCGGTTTGAAGCATCCAATACCCCACGTCTACGTACAGCCGTGCGTTGGGATTCCTGGCTGTGAGGATCGAAGTCGCTCGCTGCATATTGGCGAGGTAGCCAGCTGCGTGGCCACAGCCCCCGTCGGACGCGAGCCCCACAGCGTCTGGCTCGAGCACGTAAATCACCGGCCGAGTGCCCACCAGATCTGCGAGTTCTTGGACGAACGCAATGTACTGGGACGTGTCTTTGATAAACCCGAGGTTGCTGTAGCCAGCGTGGCAGTCCTTTTGGGGCAGCGCGTACACGACGATGGTGGGCACCGTCGACGCATTGCAATGCCCCATGAGCGTTTCCACTTGGGCCCGATAGGTCGAGTTGTTGTCGGTCCACCACGTGGCCATTGGATGCTGCTCGACGATGGTCAGGGCGTCGGCGAGCGCTGGATAGGTGGATTTGGCCGCGCCGTAGGTCAAGACGGGACCGCCACACAGGGGCAACTCGTCGGGTGAGAACGCCATGGCATACGCCAGGAAACAACATAGCAGCGCGATGTAGCCAGCCATTTTGAAAATGTACCGACGACGTGTGACGAGGTAACTGTATACCCACCCTAGTACTAGTAGATATCACATGGCCCCACATGTATTGCCGTGTACGTATGCGACGATGACGATGTGTTACTAGTATTTCGACTGGAACTGCCACCTTACAAATATCTGTATCTTCGTCGAAAGCATGGGAGGACAGTCCATTTGAGTCCATGATGGTTTCCAACACGCGGCAACAAGACTTGACGTCGAATGATGATGTACACCTCTGTGCTTTGACCGGTCCCCGTACTATGTAAAGTATCGTACTCGGAGTAGATGGAGCTCGAGATGGGAAAGCTAAAGCTTTTCTCAGGAAAATGCCTCAAACGGGTTCAAGTCAACAATACACCCATGTTGATATACTGTACGTACTAGATAGTACTGTACTATACTATTACTAGTAGTAATTTCAAACTGCTATTGCAATATAAATATATGCTTTTTTGTATGCCTCCGTTTAATAAATTGAGAAAACCTAGAAACCTATATCGTCATACTCAGTGTGCCCTTTCAGCTTTGTAATAATGATGACAAGCCAAGATATCCAGTCACCAAGAGACACGAGGCATTGACAAAAAGCACGGTTACTTTCTTCGGCTTGGTTATCCTTCGCAGCAGATTAACACGGCCACGTTAACGGTATCATTACGGTATTCATATGCGAATTGAAGGCTAGCGTTCAAAAGGTAGTGTTTTGTGGGGCTTTACTGTGTACTACAGCTACAGTACGTTGTACTGTTAATAGTACGCCGGAGTAGAACTACAACGTCCTAGTACTATTAATAATAATAGTACTCCGAAGTATTTCGAAAGTACAGTACGTAGTAGTACTCCTGACGTACTACTATTAATAGTACTCCGGAGTGTACTCGAGTACTACTAGTACTGTAAACTGAAAGCCGATTTACACTTAACCGCATCCTATAGTACCGGTAGTACTACGTAGTAACGTTACTACTACTAGTAGTAGATATTTGGGGCCGCTTGGGCTTTAACTATTGTCGACAAGACTTACAGTTAATATGGGCGCCTGAGTTGCCAAAGAGGCCAACCACTTGGGGAACGTCTCAACAACCCAACCAGGTAGTACTGTACAGTACCCAAGCGATCGTCATACTATAATCTTACTTCAAAGTACTAGTACTACGTACTAGTAGTACTTGCTAAGAATACGGTAAAACCTCATTTGCGTGATTTTCTTTAAATCCGTTCCAATTTGGACTTCTCAGTAGAATCGAATGACATAGGCAAATGTATTTTAGAATGTCGTGGCCAATCAAATTACGCTTTTGAGATATTTGAGCCAATCAACGATCATCACCGTTTGGCACCCCCGCATACTAACAAAAATGGAAGCAAACTATTAATAGTAATATATATCACGACGGCTTCCCTGCGCGTAAGTTGTCCATAAGAACATTCGGGATCAAGTTGATAGTACTAGTTTTCACCTGTATATTGTATGGTATAAAAAAATATGTTTTTACACTGCCCTTTCGTGTCCCATGCTAACCTTTCACACTCGAAGTGCTAGCCAATAGTAGTATTTCAGCAGGTTATCCACTGTACCACGTTTACACGCGGAGGTATTGTCAGGTCGATTCGAAATTGGAGGGGGGTGCTCAATGAAATGAGCAGCACCAAATTGGCAGACAATCGATCGACCAATCACTAATCAAGTAGCCAATCAAATCCACTACCGGACTTGTCGTACATTTGCACCATAGATTTAAATTTGAAGAATTTATTTAAATATTCGAATTGTATAATTGATTCGAGATTATATTGAATTATATAATTATATTCGCGTTTTGTATTTCATGGTGCAGATCAACAACAAATACGGTAGTCAACTAATTCAACATCGAATTAGTATGTGACTTCAATTAGTGTGATATGGCATACATACAAAAGTCAGGTCAACGAATCGATCGATAGATTTGGCAAAGAAGCAGCCCAAAAGTAGTCCAAATTTAGGGTAAAAGAAAGACAATATCCTGTCATAGCAATTGGTCCCGAGCTCGCTCAATCTTTGCTAAAGGACAATTCAGGAATAATTGCAATAATTGTATTGTGCTTTCGAGTGAAATTTCGTGTTGTGGCGTGGTTTCTCGCTGGAATTTAAATCGATTTAATTGACTACCTCAGATGAGCTCAAAATTATTAGCCAATCAAAACCTTCTCAATGAAATTCAACCAATCAGATCGATTGTGGATCGATTTGGTCGGCGCGATTCGATTGCACCCCCTCCCCAAATTTGTATCAAATCGACAATAAATTGCACCCAATAATTGAGTGTGATCTCCTCCCCCATCCACAATAAAATTATTGATTGTGCAGACTACGAACAATATATATTTTCACAATTGTGAACGTCATCAATTTGGAAAATAGTAATATTTTCCCCCATACCTTGACGTTCTACAGCGCTTTACTGCGCTTGTACGTTGTGGTCTGCCCCCAAGATACCCCGCACACGACTGAGCGAGTACGACATGGCAAACATACGCTGCATCATTCTACACACGGACGAAGCTTTAGGGTATTCGATACGTCAATCGCAATGGTCGTACTTTTGAAAATTGCGCACCACTATCGCGTGGGCCTCGGACGATCGTAACATGTGCATGAGCAGTTGATTTTCCCGTTTCAAAGCGCTTTCGTGTCGATCCAGGCGCAAGTTTTCCAAATCATGTTCGGCCACGAGTGTCGGCAACGACGCGCCATTCGTATATGCCTACAAGCAACCCAACAATATAATGTTAATGATGAAACCCCCAAGTGTCGTAAAAGTATCGATGTATATAGCTCGGACGAGTTGGTTTCGATAGAGCTACGAGAACCTTATGTTAGTTGATATATATAATAATGCATACGAGGTTACCACATAGTGGGAAACAATCAACGACTGGGAGTGTGTAGCCCCATAGTGATCGTGAAAAAACTGAAACATGAGCTGCAGCACCGGCTGGGTTAACGACAAGCTGTGGTGGACATAGCTATGTCATTTCGATGGTCTGATTCATTGACAGCCAGTGATGAGAAGGCCAAGACGTGCGTACATTGTAACCAGGTCGCCTAACTAGAAGAACATGCCATTCAAGACGATGAGCCAGGCAATAATAATGTTTGTTTCTTGCGCATCAAGTACCATCGAACCGGCAATCTTGCTGTCGTGCTTCGCGTCACAAAGAAGCAGCCGCATGGCAGAGTAAGCAGCCATCGACGTCACAAGAGGGCTCGGATGACGCAAAGAAGTCGACACAGCTGACCACGAGTTGTCGTCCAAGAGATCTCTCCGAAGGTCCAAGACTTCCCACACAAGCCCCAGCACATGCGCGTGGACTCGCGCATCGACTTCTACGTCGGCGCAATCGAAGAGTACGCCCAACACCTTGCTCGCTACGATAGCCGGCTGACTTGCGTAGGACGATATTTTTATTACCTTGGGCTTGGGTCGAGTCCAGAATGATGCGAAACAGCAAGCTTGAACCCATCGTGCGCGATTTAGACAAGCCCGACGACAGCAGATCGTTGACGACGTCGGCGAGCCGCACTGAGGTCGTTCCATTGTCCAGTGAAGTGTAAATAAACTACAAGAAAATCGTAGTGGTGAACCCAACGGGGGGCCTCCGACCTCAAACGACTTTCCCGACCCCGCCATGCACGAAAGTAATTCATCCTGTCACATCATGGACGTCAGTGGAATCCTGCAACTTGAGCCACATGCTGCCAGGAGGTGTGCTTACCAAGCCACGACATGCACTATAAAGAAAATAAGTATGCGATATCTCGGGCATATAGTGTACTACCAGGAGAACTCTGCCGTCGATTCGTTCCGTTGAAATGAGTCAACTCCAAGGACATGCATGACTCTCGAGGCACATGAAGCACATGCATCGTATAGCAATGACATGGCTTGACTGCGCAATGATGGAGGGCAACTGCCTTCTCTCAACACGAGGCGACAGAATCGCACGACAATGTCGCCGTCGCTTTGAAGGGGGGCATTCAATGTCATACGCAGGATCATTTGACGATACATGCATCGCATTATCGTCACGTAATACATGTTTGCCCAGTTTGGTGTTTGGCCGAGGACACGTTCCAGTGCATCGTTGATGGATGTGGCGCATGCAGTCAGATCAGTCAGGTCTCCCTGCTCCCATCCATTGGACATGTATGTATGCACACATTCTTCTTCCTCGTACCTTTTTGTGCAAGGTCTCCATGTACAGCGTCATGAGTTCCCATTGCTTCGCGTCGACGGCACCACCGCCTTTCTCCATGATCTTTCGCAATGATGCAGATGCACAAATTTGAATTCGTTATCCGGATACCGGTTGTGTTTATCCGAATGGTTGATGTACGGATAATTGACAAATTTTATCCGGAAGTAGTGTTTTTTGAAACGGCCATTTTTCGAAGAATGCAGCAGGACTTGTCCGACGACGAGAGTCCGCGAAGGGGGGATGTGAGAAAGTACAAGCCCGAAATGAGCATGGGCGACGACGATACTTGCATACATCACACTGACGGCGACATGGGAGGACGTCGTGGAGCAACGCTTACGTGCCGCATCGTATGCCACACCATCGACAAGAAGGAAAGCCGCAAGTTCCGGCGGTCGATCCATGCACGTCCTTACGTTATTACGTTTATCATGCACGTAATGGACTCGGAGGACACGAGTACTGTCAAGCGAACGTACCTGCAGTTCAAGTCTCTGCACAAGCAGGTGGGAAAGATGACATATAACTCCCCTTCCCATCCACCATTGTCTCTTGCATCTTATCACACCCGTGGTTCTTAGCTGTGCAATAAGTACCCCCGAGCCCACATTGTGCCCCTTCCATCGATGAAACTCAATCGCTACGACAGCCGCTATATCGAGCAAAAGTACAAGGTGCCATCATGTGCAACCTCCTGGAACCTGTACTTTCTACTGTGTAGGAATTGGAGCGATACATCGATAATCTGTTTGCCCTGGACACCATTGCCTCGTGCGACTTGCTGCGCGGCTTTCTCGACGACTGCCCCCTTTCCGACGGCACTGACGAAGACGACAACGACCATGACGACGGCCTCGACGTCCGGGAGTCCACCACCGTCCGCATCCAGCGCGGTACCGTCCACATCATGGGTTGGGGGTTCCAGGCCTTCATGCTAACTGTAGGTCAATCGTACTCGATCAGCGTGAAAATTCCATGCGCCGGCGCCGACGTGTCGTTTCACTTTTCGACCCAAAAGTACGACGTTGGGTTTACAATCACCCTCAACCACGACCATGTCCTGCACATGTATTCGAAAGAGCAGGCGTTGAAAGGTGCGGTCGCGTTGAATATATATATATATATATTGTCGATTTGATACAAATTTGGGGAGGGGGTGCAATCGAATCGCGCCGACCAAACCGATCCACAATCGATCTGATTGGTTCAATTTCATTTAGAAGGTTTTGATTGGTTAATAATTTTGAGCTCATCTGAAGTAGCCAATCAAATCGATTTAAATTCCAACGAGAAACCACGCCACAACACGAAATTTCACTCGAAAGCACAATATATATATATTATTGATTTGGTACGAATTTCTTCCGGATCCTGTTCAATCGAATAATCCCACCGACCAAACCGATCCCGAATCGCTCCAATTGGTCAATCTGGAAATACTTGCTGCCGATTGGCTATATTATTTTTTCTGTTTACTTTGTGCTTTCTGTGGCATCGGGAAAGCCAGTGAACTGTCGCGGCGAGATTTGGAATCGGTTGACAGAATCGCGCAACATTGGGAAAGTTGCAATAATTCACTATATATATATATATATAATTTTTTTTTTCAAGTGGATGTGGTCCTACATTTTTATTCATGCAGACACACACGATATAATTAGTACTATTTTCTACATGTGTAGGCACGGTGACGTGTCCGACCAGTGGCGTGTGCGTGCTCACGTGGGACAACTCGTTCGTGTGGCGCCGATCCAAAACAGTCACGTACCGCGCCGACGTCGTCTTGCCATTCCACATGTACGTTGGTTGAGTGATCCATATATGCACACACAATTGAAATGATCCTACGGTGACGATGTGTATCCTCGATCACTGTTTTGATTCATGGTATGGCTTCAAAGAACGACAAGAGGCGGGATTATATACTCGTTTATATATGTTGCGATTGCTGTTTTCATGCATGTATTTTTGAGTCGTAGACTGGTATATATGAACTGTTGATTGCGTTTTCTGAATACATGAAGCTATAGCTTTATTTGCTTTAATGATGGTTTTTTTAATTTTATTTGCTTTTTCATTATTTTTTAAGACCAAATAATCTAGTGGTTAAGGCACATCGAATGGTTGGGTAGCTATAGAGTTGGGATTGTATACATTAGGCCAAGCTTGAATGGCCTGCCTGTGGACGTCACCACTGAACCGTCGACGACGACATCGCCCCCCACGGGGTATATTGAACAAGTGCGAAGCCATTCCATGATCATGTCTCCGCGTCGACTCGTTAGTCGCTCCATGTCCAGAATCGGTAACAACACTGTACAATATCTGTCAATCTATTCTTCGTTGCTTGACACAATTTCCAATATCTTGAAATTTGTATTGAGGAAATCATCTCGATGGCAACCGAATTTGCCCGACGCTCATCATGCACAGAGCCTTGTAATCGTATGTCGATCGTTCAACGATTTTCTGAACCACATCGAATTCCTGAACTCTTAACACTAAATGGAAGGTCATGCCATATGTGATAGATAATATATGATATAATACACGAATATCTGCAAAAACACACATGCCAACGAACGACGTTGTAGGGTGGGCACACGGCAGCGATGCGTTTTGCATCAAAGCGGGGCCGTTGATCGTCCAGCGGCGCCACACGCTCATCATCAAGGCCGGGTTCGCGTCCGTACATAAATGGTACCGCAAGTGGTTTACATTGGACGGCGCCCACGGCATCTTGCGGTATTACGACAAGGAAGACGCGGTGGCTAGGTACACCACAATCCAACAGATATATATATCCACAAATATATATATATGTATTTATATATCCACAAATATATATATATATGTATTTATATATCCACAAATATATATATATATATATATGTATTTATATATCCACAAATATATATATATATGTATTTCTATATCCACAAATATATATATATGGTATGTTGTCATATGGGTCGTATGTATTACTGTATGTTTGTAGGGAAGGGGCACTGGCCAAGTTGGTCGTGTCGAGTGCCAAGACGACGTTGGACGACGTGACGCCCCAGCTCAACAGCCCCACGCCGTATGCGTTTCAACTCAAAAGTGGAAAAACGTCGTGGTACATAGTATTAGAATCAGAATCGTGGAATCAGAACACAGTTATCCGTACAACCAAACTGACAAGCACATATTGATGGATGGATATATGGTACGTAGGGTGTTGTGCGCCGAAAACGAAGCCGATTTCGTGGCGTGGCGCGCGGCGTTGGCGACGTGCCTGTATTTTGAGCGGTGGAACCACCAGCCGGGGCCCCACCACGATGTGACGACAGTAGTGCTCTCGTCAGACGAGGACAACAGTGACGAATGTGACGATGACGAGTGTGACGATGACGAGTTGCGTCCGCCGTCCCCCCCAGATCAAAACAACAGGCCCGAGTCGTCCAGAGGAGAAGGCTTCGTGTCCACCCAAGAAGAGGCTCACCATGCCGCCAACGCCATCAACAAGGCCGAGACTACATGGATTGAAAACGCAGAGTTGTTAGCCCTGCCGCTGCTGACACGACCAACGACCAAGCTGGACGTGATCGGGTTTGTTGCTTTGAATGGGGCGATGGCGGGGGTGGTGCTAGCTCCATCGATGGTGCTGTGGACCGTCCTTGTTGTTATCAACACGGTCGTGCTGTGTCGACTGGTTGCGCTCTCCTCGTAGCCAGCCAATATATATATATATATCGGAATAGGCAAGAAACAACACAGTCGTATATTAGTAGTTACTCAACGGAGTCTTGACAAACGGCGGAGTGGTGGACAACGACATGGTCATGCACTTTGTCTGTGGCTTGTACTCGACCGTATACACGGCCATCTCTTGCAACGGCTGCTCCACGAACCAACTGAGCACCAAGTCGGTAAAAGCCACACACACGGACGGATGCTACTAGTACCCATCACCCACCATAATGACATACTAGTAGTAGTACTAGTAGGCCCAGTACCCAATGTTTATCTCCATATCGCGGCAAGTCGGCGGTTTCGAATGCTTGCTCTTTGGTTAAGATGAACGATTCGTTGCGAAAGCCCACGCGGATGGTTGGCACGCCCACAAGATACGACTGGATCCAAAATGCGAGCAGTTTATACCGTTCAAACGTGAACCGGTCCTTGGGTGTATTTAGTATGCGGAATGTCTTGAGCTCGACGTAGTTCGTAGTATCATCGTCGTCATCCTTTGAGGCTGTGACACCGTCCATTTCAGCGCCAATCTAATGTGTCGTCAAGGGTTAGATGTACGATATAGATATGTGATGACAGAGCTAGGACAGGACCAGCAGCTTCTTTTGGCCAAGGGATACGGAAAACACGCCGCAGTACTCCCCACCACCTACGGCTGCTGACGACAGCACTTCGTACCGCCGGCCAGCGTACGCGCCTTGAGCTTGATTGGACGAAAAAGAGGACGGTGGAATATGTGACAAGGTGACGTTGAGATAGACGCAGCCTTGAATGCGCTGCATTTGCATCGTATACGCAGAATTGGTATTGTACGGCGTCTATGGGCATGTGAAGCATGGTGATTTTGCGTATATGTGGAGCACCGACCCCCATGATCTTGTTGAGGTTGTTTCGATAGGTCACAACGTGGTACTTTGGCAATGGCTGGGCATCGGTGGTGTGGTTGTGGAGGTGTCTGTTTGCTGGCAACATAGCGTCGATCACATGCTCCAGTGGCGCCGTGTTGGGAGGCTCGGCGTAGGCGTCCATGCCCTCCAACAAGTCCGAATTCAACGGCGCGGCCTTCTTGAGCAATTTCTACCATGCTAACGTAGCACTGTAATGCCCATGTACGGACTCACATACCAATAGCGACCGATCGTAGGTGACATGGCCGTCGGGATACTTGCTAAACCCACTCACTTGAACAGGCTACAATTCTCTGAGCGATGCCATTGGAAACGTAAGTACTTTGGAGATGCGCTGCTTGCTTCGTTGCATTAACTCCCTCATGCTGGGAATGGGAAGCACGAGGACGCCATCATGCATGCGGGCCTGCTTGGACCTCCTAGCCTCCACATCGCTCGATTCGCCGCTGCGCTTCATGTCACCAAAGCTGGCCAATGAGAACTCCCGAAGAAAAAAAACTTCGAATCATGTACAGTGAATTGTACATGTCGCATGTATACCAGACTCGAAATATATAAAAATGCGTTGCTGGGAGGTCTGGTTTATAGGTTAAATAAAATGACTGGTCCTTTAACGTCGTCTCTGCAGTATAAAAACGGGCAGTGTGAATGTCAGACAGTGTGGTTGCATACAGTATCCAAGATAATTTACCCCTAGGGCAAATTAATACTTCGAGGACATTTCAAGGGTGTAATACTTTAACCGAGATCAATTTGGACAATAATGCTGGGTTACAATCTATTATGAGAGAGATTATTGAACAACTCACATGACCAGTCGTGGAAATCGAAGCACATCAAGTCTCGCAGGTATTGCGGTCGTTTCACCATCTGGACGACAACAACGTCATTTGATCTCATCACGGTGACAACATGGTCAGCGATATCGCGTTCACCAACGTCCACTGCACATGCCTAACGCCTCTCTTCAGCAAGAAGTACCTCAGGTAGAGAACACCATCGCCTCATGTACCTAACAAATTCTGCAGATCGCATCGCTCGAATGGTACAAAGGTGGGCCCCGACGCAGTTTCGTCGTCAGGGGTGTCTGACAATCGAATAGGTGCTTCGGTGCTTTCCACACTGCTGCCCGACGCACGTCGACGGAACGTACTGCGGTTCTCCCTTGGCCGTGGTTGTGACAGTAGCGCCGCCAGGCACGTTGACGCAGTGCAGTGTGGACTTTCGCATCGAATCGTCCAACGACACGACGATGAGCTGCGGAGACACTGTCGAGAGCCACCGCGTAGTGGCGAATCGACGGCACCCGTCGAATCCGTCCGCAGAATGGCTGCCCACTCGAGTTGTGGCTAAGAAGGCACGATATACCAGTACAATGTATCAAAATGATTGACAGGGTGGACACCTTGTCACTAGGCCAATGCGACAACGTTCGAGTGCAATCCGTACGAAGGGTGGAACTACGGGTGGAAGGGCGGGTCATCGATCCACCAGCGACTGTCTTGGCATCGAATCAAAGTTTGTCTTATCACCTCCACCAACTATTAACTTAATTGCCCCCAACTTAGTACCAATCAAACGTATGTAGGCATATGTGTTTAAGAGTGATCCGGACCACCCCGAGACGTTCCAAGTGATCGCGACGGTCGCGTCCCCGCCGTTTTTTGTCATGTCGTACCGACGGTCGTGCAAAGCGTGTCAGACCAACGAAGCGACCGGCAGCAGCCGCGACAATTGCGATTGCGCCGGCGTATTTCGCTTGAGCGACAGTTTGCTGCAGGAGGCGCTGTCCACGGGCGTGACGCAAGTGGACATTTTGCCTTTGATGGCCAACAGACAACCTCACTTAGACAACAACGCGTCACACGTGGCAGCCCAGGAGCGCGACTTGCGGATGGTGTTTGCAGTGCTGAGTCTCGCGCCCATCCCCGCGTCTGACGCCGCCCTCTGCGAGCTCTTGCACTGGTTCGGCTCGGCTGTGGCCACTGGGACCCCGTCGCGCCCCCAGAAAATGCACGACATCGTCGCCTTGTGTGTTCACGTGGTGCTGGCGCTGGTCGTCCAGGGGCGCCAGGACGTGCGGGCATACATGACAGAGCATTCCAGTGATCTCCTGCACCAGGACCTGCTGTGGCAGCGCTATGAGCTGTGGCTACAACTTGTAACCGACAAGATGGATGCCCACTTGAACGCCATCGACGTCCTTCGCCGAGCTTTTACGCAGGCCCTCACCACGTCGTGCCACGTCAGCCACCCTTCCGGATACGACACCTCGACGTCCAAGGCACCATCTCCTGTGTCTGAATTCTTCGTGGCCCAGCTACGCGAAGTCTATATGGTATATAGCCCCAACTATATACCATACGCGTCTTCCATTGCTTCGTGCACTATTGAATGATATTGTATTGATATATATATATATAGCAAAGTCCCCAAGATATATGTTTGACGGATGTATTTGTTAGGCTCGCACTACACCCCCTCAACAACCGCCCGCTACGACCGAACGATGTGCATGGAATGGCTCGTGGGAGCTCGACATTGATTCCGTCCGCGTGGACACGTTGAGCAAAGGGGCGGCGGCATCCCCTAGTTTGTTGAGCTTGCTTCGGTGTTTTACCATGGGCTATCGTTTTGATCAACACGTGGCCAACCAAACCCTGTCGGTCCGTGAATAGCCATCTATTTGCATACCAATATATGTATATATATATATATATATATTCTCGCCACTCGACACATAAATATATACATACATCGGTGCTAGGTGTTGTCGTCGCTGGCCATCTTTCCGTCGAAAAGGTCCGAGTTTATCCTAGACCAGAAGCCCCGGGTGTTTCGCGTGTTTCCCAATGGCGAGACGTCCATGTCCAACTGCGGGGGTCTGACCTACGGGGATTACATGGGGTCACTGGACGGATCGGCCATTCGACTGGATTTGTTTTGCTGGTCCACGGCATCCCCGCCGACTTGTACGCTGGTGCGACTGTGTGTCCAAGCCAAGTCGACTTTGCTACTGGTGACGATGGACGTGGCAGTGCACGCCAACTCCCACGCACCTGCAGACGGCATGGACGAGTGGACCCCCTCGGAACGAGTACAACATCTGCACCAGCACAGCCCCAGTGGGGTGCCTTGGCTTCGAGTTATGGGAAGCTATGCACGTCGTAGCAAATTTAACGTGAACGAGGGCCTGTAGAGATATTCCTGAAAAAACTTCTCACATCTTTGTCGTAGTATTGAATTGATTTGATAACAAATCGTGCTGGTTGTTTCACCAGCAAAGATTATCCGTTGTGTTTCTTGAGGTTGTGGCAAGTATTCTTCGAGGGAAGAGTACATATAAGCCAGTCAGTAATTCATTTATAGCGCCATGGCTACTATTGGGAACGATAGATATCAAACAAGACTACATTTGTACATTGGCATTAACGTTAACGTTACTTTGAAATCGTTGGTAGAGAATGCACGAGTTCACTTCGTCGTGACTTTGCACATGCTTGTACGGTATGTCAGAGGTACAGAGTACAAGTGAAACCGTCGAGACGACTCGATTTCATTGGGCAATTCACAATGTTGAACTTGGATTGTAACTGCCAATCAAAGATCTGTAGGGCTCAAAGCACAAAACACGACGCCACACCAGATGGTGAGGTGATGTAGTTGCACATATCTTGTCTATCTATTCGACGCGGTGGTAGGTTCCCGCAACTTGTAGCACTTGTACTTGGTGGGTTGCGCCATCCGTTCGTGGGGGCTCTTCTCTTCCAGGTTGATCTCAGCTGCGTCGGGAACTTGGATTGGATGAGTGCAATCTCGCCCGTCACTGCAGCCCCGTTGTTGGACGATATGAGGTGGACGCGAGCGACGAAGCACGTCTGATCGACATTGGTCGACGTTGGCCAAGTGAGCAAGTCCAATTGCACACTGAAGGACGACCTGTCAAGCGACCTAACGTAATCGCCGTAAATGAGACCGTCAGGTGTCGACATGGAGGTTTCACCCTTGGGGTACTCTCGAAAAATGCGCGGCTGCGTGACGAGAACAAACTCGGACACCGCTGGGTCGGGAACAAGGCTGCGTCCGACTGCACCTAGACGTTGTGGACAACACACTTGTAAGTCCCCAAAGGAAGTGCGTTTTTTGTTGTGGTTGATTACAAACAGCGTGGGGGCATCGGAAGTCACAAATTCTTGTTGCACTCGATGACCCATGGTAAACCACCGAAGAAGTGAAAACAGGCTGGGTGACGACGATGGATGAAACTGCGAGTGAACAGAGTTGACATTAAGACTCAAGGCTCCACTGAGTAAAGACTGGGTCTTGACATTGGATGGCGGACACTGTGGTGGTAACGCTCCAACAGCCTAAAAGTAATCATGCAAAATGTCCAATGTTACCACACCTCGACTTGACATGTATGAATTCATCAACAGATACTGTACTACTGTAGTACACTCTTTTACCATGGGTACTTCTCGTAACTGGGCGACATAAAATAAATATACTGGCGAGTAATGTGTCGACGTCGACGAATACGCAGGCGTCGTCGTCGCATAATCCACAGCGTCGTCGTGGCACAGGGCATGGAGGGATTGCATAAAGACGGCGTGAGGAACACTGCACGTGGTCAACATTGAGTGGATCTTTGAGCTTAAGAGGCGGACCTATTGCTCGTAGCCAAGCCAGAGCCGGCGTTGGTCCAAGATGTCGGTTGCATGTTGCTGCAAAAACGCCTGCAAACTCGATCGATATTTGGCCAGCACCACTGCGATGTCCATACACAGCTTGGTTGTGATTGAGGTCGACAGCAATGTTGTGTTGGTATTGTATTGGGGGGGAGTTGTGTCGACTGGAGACGTGGCAGCCCTGCAGCCAAGAGCGGAACCAGGGTTGACGTGGTATACCGTTGGTACGTCTGAAGCCCATCACAACCATGGCCACCAGATGTTCGTGGTCCGCCGTAGCCGGTGGCGCCACGCTCGGGGTCAAGGGCAACATTTCCGATTGACTGCCCCGGTGGGCCAACACTCCTTGCTGTAATCCGTCGCTCAAGCGAAACACGCCGGCGCGATCACGCGACGCGTCGCGGGTGTTGGTGCTGGCTTGGCAGGCTTTGCACGACGGGCGATACGACATGACGAAAAACGGCATACTAGAGACCGTGGCTATCACGTCCGTAGACGTTGGATGGGCCGGGTGGTTTCGAAACAAATACGCCCGCAATTTCATGGGAATGAGGTGTCGCTATATGCACGATGAACTATCGGACACACCTTGACACGATGCCACGACAAGCGTTGGTGGATCGACGAGCCACCGATCCAGCCATACAGTAGTGCCATCCATCCGCCCCATCGTACTGGAACGTAGTGGCATGTTCCTAGCCCCAATACGAGCCCCCGCCCTAGCCGACTATGTTGATGGTGGCCCTCCTCAAGTACCTGAACAAGCACTCGTTTCGCGATCAACCAAGTGCCACGAAGATTGGTTGGCTGGCGTTCGTCCGAGGTCACAATGGTCTTGGGGATGGCCTAGCCGCACGCGAGCGTGGATTCGTGTCACAAACCCGGTAGTTGATGTACACATTACCTCAACAGAAATATACTAGTATTTTTTTACGATAAAAGTAAGTTATATTCTGAATGTTCAGGATATTAATACAGTGCTGGCCAGTAGGATCCAGCCACCCCGTTTATCTGGGATTAATTTTGTCCAATAAAACGTAGAGACATGCGGAATACACCATTCTCTCCGTTTTAATTGGTTGTTTATTGGGTCCGTTACAACAGCTTGATCCGATAAAAACTGCACTTTATTTTGTCCAAAAACCATTTTGAGGGGTGGTCAATAGGATCCCAACCACTTCAGAAATCACAGGTTTCAAGGTGCAGTACTATGTTAAGTACACTCAAAACACTTGCTAGTACTTTGTGTTGGACCCCTTTGCCTCTGAACTAATCTACAACGACGTGGCATCGATGCAATGAGCTTGGCAAGGTAGTCTTCATCGATGGAGGACCAGGCGCGCTGAATTGCCAGTCCAAGGTCACACACACTGCCGTTCTGCTTCCCACTCACATTCACATACTGCACCATCATGCCCCAGACGTTTTCGATCGCGTTGAGGTCTGGGAACAGCACAGAGTGCTCAAATAAGTTGATGTTTTGCTCGTCCAAAAATGCCAACAAAGTTTCGGAACGGTGCATGGCGACCCCATCTTGCGTAAATTACACGTTCGAACGGTTATTCTAGTGCCCAAAAGGAAGCAGATGATTGGACAGTGTTACGACGTAACTATCAGACTTTTGGCAACCCTAAAGAAAGGCCAGATCGAGTTTGCCGAGGATGCAACAACCACCCCACACCATGATGCCACCACCACCATTGGGACGCGTCGAATACGACTTGGTTTCAACTCATACATCATGCCAGA